TCTACATCTGTTTCTTTCTTGTTGCAGGTGAGTGAAAGACTGTTAAATTTCTAGATTCCACACCGCAATAATTGTATCTGCTAACTAAATCTGAGCATGCTTCTACCATTTATTACCTTAGGACATATTCCTTAAGTATCTAAGCAAAGCATCAAAGGATACATGTTTAAGCTTTTTGATATAACATCACCATCCAGAAAGTTTCTATCAATTTCCACCTTCACCAACAGTGAATAAAATCCTACCTCTCTGTACCCTAGATAATACTGACAAAGAAACTCAATTTGATAGATAAAACATTCTTCCGGTTTTTGTGTGCACAATCGGATTCCATCAGTCTCTCAAGAGTGAGTGGTCCAGGCCTGACAGTGATGGCTTGGGGAAAACCGTGCAGATGCAATGAACTGATTCAGGACTGACTCAGGAGGGAGAAACAGCAAGATTGGGTGATAAATCTTGTTTGGCTCTTTTAGGTCAGAAGCAGGAGGGGCTAACATACTGTTGGAGCAAAACTGGAAATGAAGATTGCTGTCAAGTGTTTCTTAACTAGGGTAGAAAAGACTGAACTTGCTCAAGCAATGGCTGCATATTGTGTATCTGAGCCGTTATCAGCTGCTCTAGCATCGATGTAACATCCAACACGGTAGTTGTGAGTGAGGCTGGTCGGTCTGTACTCTCTCCAGGACCCATCTGGATTCTGCAAGGGCGAGGCTGGGAAATTAAATGGAGCTGTGACAGGGACCGATGACCCTACATTCTTCACATTTCTTATGGTAGCGCCAATCTCCACCATCACCCCTTGGGATGCAGTCTTATTTTTGATCTACTCCCTCCTTCTAGCTCCTCAGCTGTCTGCCGTCCCCCTAAAGGTGATAACCAAACATGCCCCAGGCACTGAGTGGCTGTTTACTATTTGTTAAGTACTATTAGTCTGTCATTATTCCTCCACGGAGAGTTAAGACAGTGAGGTGCTCACCAGCCGACTCCGCTGTTCTTGTGCACACAGCGTGCCCCCTGACCTTCCAATGTTTGGTCCTTGCACTGACAGTGCTCCCTTCCACTGGGACGCCTCACTGGGGCGCCACTGGTAACTGCACCACCATGGGTCTTCCTTGCCGGCTGGACAGTGCATCAGCCAGTCCCCAGAGCCCATCCTACTACTGTCTGCTCTCAGACCACGTCCACTAACAGCCGTGTCAGTCAGGTTCTCCAGGAGCTATCTCCCAAGACACAATTAGAATTTGAATAAGTATTAAATATTTACTTATAATTAAATATTGGGGACTTCAATGCCCCTCAGCCAAGGACCACCAGAAACACATCTGTAGTTAAACAAGCTGGGTTTATTACTTGTTGCAGTAAAGGAGAATGCTCATTGCAGAGATGGTGGGGCTTCTCAGAAAGAGGGTGTTAGAACCTATTTCACAATTCTGGCTTTGGGGAGTGATTTCACTGACAGCCTAAGGATGCAAGGGTGTACTCTAGATTGGAGGTTGTAAACCAGTCAGGGCAATTCTATGATTAGGTGCCTCAAAGAAATCTTATCTGTAGGGAGCACAGACTAGAGTGAAGACATAGCTGAAAATGGTTAAAGGAAAAAAAAAAAAAAAAAGCATTACTCGCTTCAGCCAGATGCATGTTTGATGGGTTAACACCATGACCTTATTTTTTCTTTGAGCTCAGACAAAATGGCGAGGTGCTTTTGTCTTGTCTTACTTTATCATGGTCTCAGAGCAACTCTGTCTGAGTTGGTATTCTGAGACTGTTCATGTCCAACAAGAGAATAACATGGCCTAGGTGGATAGGTGTCCGTAACACAGTTCAGTGTCCGTAATTCAGGGACAGGTTTTTCTCCCTCTTCTCAGGAAAAAGATGGAACTTAAACATGTAACATAAAGGGGAGAGGATGCCCAAGACAAGAAGAGCCTTTGGACTATGGTACAGGTTGACAAGAGTGATAGGGAGGCCAAGGGAGATTTGGGCAAAAGGCTCAGGTAGTAAGACAGACAGTAATACAGCACCAAGAAGTCTTGGCCAGGCCAGTGGGAGCTCCAGAGCAAAGACGGCCCATGAGGAGAGCACCATGTTGGGCACAAATGACCTGGCTTCAGTAACCCAACTGTGTTTGATCGCAGTGGGAGAGCACGGCCTCCAGAGAAGCCTGCAGCAGTGCCCCAGGGGGTGGAGCTTCGGTAACTACTCCCCCACAGCGACTCTCTGGAAGGGACAGCTGGGCAGCATTCCTCCAAGGCCTCCAGAGGCCCAGGACCAAAGGCTCAGAAATGTCAACACTGAGAAGCTGGGTAGAAAAGGAAAGAGAAGGGAAGATGTACCAAAGAGAACGAATTCAAGTAAAGAAGATGAAGTGGCCAGTAACCGTCACATGCACAGGGACAGTCATGTGGAAGGGCCAGCCTGGAAAAGGAGGGAGAGAAAGAGAGATGCTGGAGACTGTGAACGAAGGGCAGGAAGATGAGGCAGCAGCTCAGGCACCGAGGGAAACGTTGGGAATGGAAGACGAGGAAGTCTTGTGAGCTGCAGGGAATGATCCAGGAGACTGGGAAGCAGGAGACGGACAGCGCCCAAGGATTACGCCCCAGAGGTGACTGGCCTGGGGAAAGGCTGGTCATACACAGGGTAGGCACTTCAGGACTGGAGACAGGAAGAAACAGGAAGGAAAAAACAGGAAGGAAATAGAACAGGAAGGAAAAAAAAGGATATCCTGAAGGTGTGGGTAGGCTTGTCATTCTGGGACTGGAAAAGTAAGGGAAATCTTAGCTGACGGTTTCTGATTTTCTCACTGAAGGAGGCAGCAACTCAGAGCATTTTCAATGTTAATCATCAAGAGGTCATTAAAATGAAAATAATATTCACAGATAAGATTGAAAGACTGTATTGACAGAGAACTCTAATTTCATAATAAAGAAATGGCAATAACTGGTACTTGCATGAATTCAAAATATGTTCACTAAGCACCAAAGAGAATAGTTCCCAATGTTTTCACTAAGTACTTCTTTATTACTGAAAGACTGACTAAAACTTAACCAATTTATTTAGGTTTTTAATCAAGATATCTAAAGCTGGTGGGGTGCCTGGGTGGCTCAGTCAGTTAAGCATCTGACTTTGGCTCGGGTTATGATCTCACAATTCGTGAGTTCAAACCCTGTGTCAGGCTCACGCCTGGAGCCTGCTTTGGATTCTGTGTCTCCCTCTCTCTCTGCCCCTCCCCAACTCACGCTCTGTCTCTCTCTCAAAATTAAGCTAAACATTTTTTTAAAATTGAATAAAAAAAAAAAAAAAGAAGAAATCTAAAGCTGCCAATCAAAGCTTCTAACTGGCATGAGGTGACCAGGTTAACAAACTTAAAGTCCTATAATGTGAGTAAAACCTTTAAAAAGCTTTGTTTAATCTATACTTGAGGGGATTTGTTGGCTTCAGGCTGTGTACCCCATACACATGCACACAAACAAAAATGAGTAAAAAGCATTATGCATAACAAAAAATAAATAGGTGGTCCCTGTACATTCAGAGGGGAACGATGCCTACTTCTAGTGAGGGGCACCAAGACAGACACAGATCACTACCCCCCACCCTCAAGGGGAACCAAGCAAGGTTGGCAAAGAGAGAGGAAGTCCTGTGACATGGGGGTGAGGCGAAGGCATCAGGGACCAGATGGCATCAGACCAAACAGTGAATGGATGCATGTCAGTGTCGTGTAGGGAGGGCCTTCAAGGCTGAAGGAAATAAAACAAGGCAGGACTCTGCGTCACAGAAGTATTGCCTGTTCAGAAGACAACAGAGCATTTCTGGGTAAGGAGACGTAATCTGATGAGACTGTAAACAAGGGAGAAAGGAAACCCTCCTCCAAGGAGCATCACACACAATGCCGGTCTGTATTTCTCCACAGCAGCTCAATAGAGAATCTCCTTGGCCCATGTAACCAACAAGACGGTAAAACGTCTTCCCAAATGCTCAGATCCCATGATCTTCGAGGATGGTGAGGCGCTAAGGGTCACCTGCAGCCCACTCCCCACCTCAAGGCCCCAGTCCCTTGGAATCAACATCACTCATCTGCAAGAGCCTTCCTTAATGAGAAATTCTGCTACAAAAAACCAGAAACTAAAATGACACAAGCAAACAAAACTCAAAATGAAAAGAGATGACCACAGCATGCTTTAACCTCTCATACTGCACGGATACCTCAACTGCTGTGCTGAGCACAAGGTCTGCCCCCTTACTTAAACGGCTTCATCACTGCAGAACCTAACAAAATTTACCATATCACTGCTCCTGCTACACATCCCCACCCCAAAAGTGAAAAAACACCACACAAGATATAAACTTACCCCAAATAAAAGTCAATAGCAACTTAAGTATCCTATGTATTAATATTACACTAACTTAGGATATGATAGTCCTTTCAACTGATTCACAAAATATCATTTTGAGAGCTTTGGAAGCCTTATGGACATTGCTGCATTAGATTCCTCTTCTTGAGGTAATTCAAAGTCTTGAAATATGCAAATTTACCACTGAGGGGTAATTGTCATAAAAGGCGTACAACCAAAACCCTCATCTTCTTGATTCTCCGATCAAATCATACACCATTTTCCTCCAGATCATAAAAGCTAATCTAAAACTGGAAACAGGGGCACCTGGGTGGCTCAGTTGGTTAGGCGTCCAACTTGAGCTCAGGTCATGATCTCGCAGTTCGTGGTTTCGAGCCCCGCATCGGGCTCTCTGCTGACAGCTCAGAGCCTGCAGCCTGTTTCAGATTCTGTGTCTCCCTCTTTCTCTGCCCCTCCTCCCCAGGTCATGCTCTGTCTGTCTCTGTCTCAAAAATAAATAAATGTTAAAAAATTTTAAAAGAACAAAAATAAAAACTGGAAACACAAAAAGATTAAGTAATTAAAAATAATACAAAGAAACCTAAAAAGGTATCTGTAAGTGGCATCACAATAACAATCTAAATTTTGCTGAAAATAAAAATTTACTTGATCTACCAAAGCCATTTTATAAAGTACTCAAGAAAAAACATTTATAAAAATAGGGGGAAATTTTAGGTGAGACCATCAAACAAAAATCATCTCATTCTTTGGCAAAGAGTTCTTCCAAAATGTCACTTCCACAGGAAGGGATGCTCGTCACAGCTGGGTCTCAGCTGACTCACACCCCGGCTCCCCTTCAGGCCCGCCTGGACTCAGCTTTGCTTCATGGGTGCAGGGATGTTCGCGGATGCCTGCTCCAGGTAGGCCAAGGAGCCCTGAGGGATGTCGGTGGGCTTTTTGTGCTGCACGTTGATGTCTTCCAGCACTTGCTGCCAGTGCCTCAGTTTTGTCAAGTGCTTCTGGACCAGAGCATCTTTCCGCTGTAGTTCATTCCTTAGTTCTGAGACATCCTACAAAACAAAGACGAGGAAGTCAGGGCAAATTCATGAGAAATGAAAATAGTTCACTACGGTGAACTAAGAGAACTAAGAAGTAAACTCAAAGAGAATCAATTTAACCATGTACATCCATTACTCTGCTTGGCTCCACTTTCCAAATAACCCACAGCAACTCCTCTAATGGAAAATGCTGCCTAACACTGAAGGTTTTATTTTCATTTTCTTTTAATAAGTAATCCAGATTTCCAATATTGCAAAGTACCAAAGGGCAGGTAAAGAAAATCAGGCCCTTTCCCAACCTGGTCCCCAGGCACCCAGTATCTCTGTCCAAAGGCCACTCACTGCTGAGGATCTAAAACACTGAGAATCTGAAACATATGTTGACAACTGTTTAAAAGAGTCCATACCACTATTCTATCAGTTCAGGCTGAAGTGCTAAAATCTCATATTCAAGAGCTTTTTAAATCAATACCAGCATTGTAATTCTTTATTAAGGCCTCGCATTGAACACACCTACGTAGTCAAATACTCAAATCCAGAAATGCTCTGACATGATAAATTATAAGAGTGTCATCTTGGGGCACCTGGGTGGCTCGGTCAGTTAAGCGTCCAATTTCAGTGCAGGTCATGATCTCAAAGTTTGTGAGTTTGAGCCCCGCACTGGATTCTGTGCTCATAGCTCAGAGCCTGGAGCCTGCTTCCGATTCTGTGTCTCCCTCTCTCTCCTGCTGTCCTGCTCATGCTCTGCCTCTCTCACTCTCTCAAAAATAATAAAACACTAAAAAATAAACCTTAAAAAAAAAAGTGTCATCTTATCATTCATGTTCTCAACAGCTGATATCCATTAATAAAAAAAAGTTTTTCAATTGATTCAACAGCTTGTGGGAGTAGTTACTTCAAAAAATACTAAAAAACAAACATGTCAATTTAGTTTCTCATTAGGGGCATGACTGGCCTGATGGGCAAGACCACTCTCTACTCTGTACTGCACGGGGCAGGCTCTGGCCCAACACACTAAATGCCAATGAAGTTTCCAGTCATCATGGCAACCCCAACATATTTCCAAATGCCCCAATTTCAAACAAGTGAGAGAAATGAAACCCTGGGTCTCAAGGAACCTGGGAGAGAAAGAACATTCTATTTTTGATTCCTTGAACAAAACTTGAGCCCTTCCTGCGTATAAAGCAGCCAGGGATACACACAAATCACAGTTGCTGTCCAAACGAACCTATCATCTATATTAATGGCTTTTCAACATTTTTCAAGCAGCAAAACCTTTTAAGAAAAGTCTTCCAGCAAATGAAACTGCTCTGTTTGAAGTCCAGCTTTCCACCTCCACCCCCTGGCTCCACTTCCTGCCCATCTTGTCATGAACACTGCCATCCAGCAGCATCTGTACTCAATCTGTCTACTACTACTCCCCATTTTCCAACTTCTAGGGTAAAACGCAGTTTGGGTCATCCCTGCCTCCCTCGCTCCCCCAGCTTTTTCCTCTTCCCCCTCCCCTGGGGAAAGGCTGTATCTCATTTAAAGCACAGATGTAATCCTGACAATATGTGCTCTTCCAGAAACTTGAGGAGAAAGCTGAATTCATACCTCTTTGATAACTTGCTCTGGTTTCTGGACAGATAACTGCATTCTTTTTTGTAGGAAGAAACATTCTGTCTGTCTCGCAATATCCAGAAATTTCTGGATACACTGATCAACACCTTATTAAAAAAAGACCAAAATATTAAGAAAAATACTAGACACAAATATCTCCATTATAAATGAACAATCATAAATATTAAAACATTACCTTCCCAAAGATGTAATCTGGAATTTTAATTCTGGCCACAACAGAAATAATGACTCCCAACCCTCCACGTGTTAACCAACATTAAATGGCAGATAATCTGTGTTTATATAAGTTTAATGAGACCTCAGCGCAACACCAAACTTCTGAGGACAATCCAGAGATTCAGCAATTAGCATCATGACTTCCATTTAAAATGTAACATGTAAAATATAGTACAAAACAATTGGAAACACTTGGGACAGAATGTGGGCGAAGTCAGGGAAACAAAGAGACTTTTCTTCTCTGTAACACCTTCAAAAAATCATCAAAACTTATTTTTTTAAAAAAACAGCTCACATTATTTACTGGTTGTCACTGTCCTATACCAATATGGAAAGCTCATTAGAACTGGTCCATTATGAGCAACATGTCAATTGATAAACTGATGAATGAGCAGTATATATAAATGACTGCATAAATCTTATTCCCTGGAAAAGTTCTCTAAGGATACAAACAAACCTGAAACACATTAAGTGTAAAATCAGCAATTAGGAATCTTGCTGAAGGCAAGAACATGGTCTACAAGAGTGAATTCTTACCAGTTCTAATTTCTTCCTGATCCGTGCCATTGACATAGTCCTGACTTACAAGAGAAGCAAAGCAAGCCTGTGTGATCCAAACATATAAGAAAAACACTTCATTCACATGTCAAAAATACTACTTCAGAGTAAGAAATAACTTTTCTTGAAGTTACTCAACGAGCTGACAGAATCTGGGTTTACACATCAGCTGACAAGATATCCTGCTAATGAGGGAACTTAGTCAACTGAGTCCAACATAGTCCTGGAGGGAAAGTCTGCAGATGAGGCAGCTGGTATCTGCGGGCATCCTAACCCGGCTTCTCTCCTGCCACTCGCCCCTTTCGCCAGGATCCCACTGCCCACCAGAGCCTGGGTCCCTGCTCCGGCTCCACTTGAGGCCCCTCCCTCCGATGCGTACGTGTTTGCACCTCACCCTGTTAGGAAAAATCATTACCTCCTCAGAGAGGCTGTCTCTCTCTCCTCTGTTGACATGGCTCGCTCTCTCCTATGCCGGCTTTACTGTTTTTCACACAGTTAACTGACATCATCCCATTCTTCCATTACCAGTCGTTTCCTACCAGCTGGTGAGAGTTCTGCATAGCTTCTCCGCTACACTCCTAGTGCACGAACTCTGCTGGCACTGAGTGCTGCTCGCTAAATACACGTTAATGACAGCCGGGACGGCCTGAGCGCTTGCTATCATAAGGATAAACAAGTCCCAGAGAGAGTTTCTCTACAGGGGCACCAATCTGTTTGAACACATGATTCAGCCAAGGAGTTCTGTGCACAGGAAACTGTTAGGAAATGCCTAGTGAAGGCCTATCACATGGCAGTGGGGTCAGATAGAGAATGGGAGAGCTGGCGGGGAGCGGTGGTCAGAAAGCAAGCCTTGGGGCCCCTGGGTGGCTCAGTTGGTTAAGCGTCCGACTCTTGGTTTCTGCTCAGGTCATGATCTCACAGTTCCTGAGATGGAGCCCGTGTCTGGCTCTGCACCAGCAGCGCGGAGCCTGCTTGAGATTCTCTGTCTCCCTCTCTCTCCGGCCCTCCCCTGCTCGTGCCCTCTTCCTTTCACAAAATAAACAGACTTTAAAAAAAATGGGAGGGAGGCAGGCAGCCTCAAACCTCAGGGAAGCAGAGCCCCACCAGCAGTAAGCAAAGTACACCTAGTGTGAGGTAGGCATATGTGGGCCCAAATTTAGGCCATCACCCACATGTGAGGGCCCTTTGGGAAGCAACAAATTCTGCTGCCAGCAGTTTCCCCTATTTGTTTACAGAGAAAAATCACAGGGCTCCTCCTGGAATTCCCTGTAACACCTCAAGAAATCTGAAAAACAAATTGCCCACTCTGTGTATTACTTGGAAAGAGGACTCCTGTTGGATTTGGTGTAGGAGCAGGGCACACTGCTCTGAGAAACCTGTGGGTACCGGAAAACATCCCACCCAGGAGGCCAAATGGGCAAACCAATCAACAGTGGTGGGGCTGCTCCCTCACAATCAGCGGGGCCACCAGGCATAGTGAGAGGAAATTGGATCTCAGGAATTTTCGTTCCCTCTTCCCTCTTTAAAAAAAAAAAAAAGAAAGAAAGAAAAGAAAAGAAAGAAATCAAGGGCACCTGAGAGGCTCAGTTGGTTAAACATCAGACTTGGGCTCAGGTCATGATCTCGTGGTTCATGAGTTTGACATGGGGCTCTCTGCTGTCAGCATGGAGCCTGCTTCAGATCCTCTGTATCCCTCTCTCTGGGCCCCTCCCCTGCTCTCACACTCTCAAATATAAATAAACATTAAAAAAATTTTTTTTAAATTATCTATACAAGTCTTCATAGACAGGTGAGCAGTTGTATGGAGAAAACATGTGGTGGTCTATAAAAAGATTATGATTTTTAGAAGTATGTGTAGGGAGGCACTTGGGTGGCTCAGTCAGTTGAGCATCCGTCCAACTCTTGGTTTCAGCTCAGGTCATGACCTCAAGGTTCATGGGTTTGAGCCCTGCGTCAAGAGCCTGCTTACGATTCTCTCTCTCTTCCTTTCACTGCCCCTCCTTCACATGCATGCACGCGCTCGCTCGCTCTCTCTCTCTCTCTCTCTCAAAATAAATAAACTTAAAAAAAATAGCTTTAGAAGTATGTATAGGATGGAACCTTTGGCTGGAGACTCAAGTAATAGTCCTCATTTGCACAAGCAGAGGATTTGGCTTTGGGCCGGTAACTTCATCTCTGAGCCTCAGTTTCTCCATCCATAAAAGGAGAGGATGGTCTCCAAGATGGGTCTCCACAAGAGTGCGTGATCTCAACGAACTCGCTACATTAAAGAGCATTCACTGAGCAACCAGAATGAGAAAGTCAAGGGAAAGCACCCAATAGAAATGAAAAGTGAGCAAGCAGTGCCATGAGCCACCAGAGATTATGAAACAGAGGCCCATGCAGACCACAGTGAAATTAAAAGGAAATGGAAATGTGGCTTTGAGCAGAGCCCTGAGAAGGCTAGCTGGGTGATCATGCAGCAGCTGAGAGCGAGCCCAGGTAGCACCACCCTCACTCCTTTTCACCTGGCTTTATAAGAACCCCCTTTTGGGTTTCACGTTCCCTTAGAGGGCCTTTGGCAGCCGCGCCCATGTGTGCTCTCAGATACCATGGGTTTTCTTCTACCAGAGTACTGATCCCACAACACAGCAACTGTTTCTTCCACCCGGCTGTCATGAGTTCCTTGGAGGCCAGGACTGTTTTCTCTGTATTCTTAGCATGAATGACAGGGACACAACAGACTCCTTCACTGTTTGACAAATATTCACCAAGTGATTGCTACCTGCTACCACTGTATTAGCACTGATGGGAGAAAGAAGGGCAGATCCACTGGGGAAGTGATGGGTGAGTTGGGAGAGGGGACCTGGAAACCCAAAGAGGAAAACAAATAGCACATGCAGAAAAAGTCTTATGTGCCTAGAAGTAAGGGAAAATTGGAATGAAGCAGAAAGCTGAATGTGCAGCGCTGGGAAGGCCACAGTAACCTTTTGGCTTTATCTCAAGAGTGACAGCCTAAGGGCACTGGGTATTGGCTTCGGCCAAGACTTCTACAGGGCCGGTCTTTCAACAAGCTCCCATGACCCACAGCCACCTCACCTCAATGCTAAATGCTGCTCTAAAGCTTACCAAACCCCTTCCTTTATGGCTTGGCACCCCTGCAAAGGCATCTCATTCTCCTCCCAGATAGAGTTTGATGTCCTTCAAATCAATTCTCGCCAAACTTGTCAACATACACTCCCCAGTAAAAGCATTTCTGCACATGCTGCCCCAATCACACATTCATTTACGAGCCATATTCATATTCTACTCTATTTTACATGGTATAAAACTCACATGACTAGGATTTAAAAGTGGAAAAGGGAGCTGCAATTATAAGTTATTTTATTTCCACACAATAATGGCTCATCTTTCACTTTGGAGACCACAGGAAACCATCTTATTTTTAAGCACTCACTCATTTTTACCTGTCCTTTTTCTACTACTACTCCCCATTTTCCAACTTCTAGGGTAGAACGCAGTTTGGGTCATCTCTGCCTCCCTCGCTCCCCCAGCGTTTTCCTCTTCTCCCTCTCCTGGTACCAACTTCCACATAGCAACTTTTATGTTAAGTCCATTTCATCCCCAAGAGTCCATTACTTCAGGGCCGTTTAATGGAGCAGCCCAGAGGGAAGGGTACAGGATGCAGCAATGTGACCTTACCCTTCATAGAGCCACCAATACTGTACACACAGGGATGCGGGGAGGAGCGCTCAGGGATGGGGCCAAGAAAGGGTAAAACGAACAACCGACTGGGAACCTAGAAAGGTCCCAAGGTTGGGGGTGGGCAAACTTCAAGTCCATTTGCTTCCAGAAACCATAAAGTCTACTTTTCCGCCAGCAGACCTGAGCACAATTCCAGCCACCACTCAACATGGAGAATTTCTTTTAACGTTTTATTTTTGAGGGACAGAGCACAGATGGGGAAGGGGCAGAGAGAGAGAAAGAGTCACAGAACCCGAAGGAGAGTCCAGGCTCTGAGCTGTCAGCACAGACCCCGACGGAGGGCTCGAACTCACGAACTGTGAGATCATGACCTGGGCCCAGGTCCGACGCTCAGCCGACTGAGCCGCCCAGGTGCCCCATCAACATGGAGGTCAAAGCAAGGAACTTATGTTCTCTGCGCTTCTTCCCCGATTTGTAAGCCTGACGCGAGCATCGCAGAAAGGGACAACGTGACCAGGTGCAGCTTAGGTTTCAGGTAAGAAAGGAGGCTGGGAACACAGACGCCGCAGTCTCATCTTACCTCAAAAGAGGACTCCAACTCGTCCACCAACGTACTGTTAGAAGTTCTCGGAGGGCCTGGCGCGGCCTGAAGAAGCGAAGCCTGGCCCCTAGAGTCCCCGGGATGTCCAGGCGGCTGCCCGGAGAACATACCTCCCAGCGGAGCCGCCATGTCTCAAATGGTGGACTAGCGGCCACTGCGCCTGCTCAGGAGCTGGCTCACGTGGCACGCGCGGTCACGTGACATCGCCGGCTGCCGCAGGCTTCTGTTTGGCTCCGGGGAAACCGTAGGTTTTGATAGCTTCTCCTTTTCCTTCTCCGCCAGTAGGCAGCCAGACTTTTCTTTTTATTTACCTGAAGAACCGAAAGCTTAGACCGGATCTGACGCAGGTGCGGGAGTAGAGAATCCGTAACTACACTGCAGCGAGCCCCTCTCCAGGAGTCCGGATACTCCTGTGCAAGTCCCGCCTTTGCCCTTAAGATCTGGAGTGACTTTGGCCAAAGCTTTCTATGGGCTCGGATTACCCGTTGGCAGGGGGAGGGACGCAGCGCTTTATTCCTCAGTTAACGAGCGTTTACTGTGTACCTATTGGACATAGCGGGAACAAAATGGCAAAGTTACCCCTAAAGTCTCTGTGCAGAGACCGGCAACAAAAACTTAACGCTGTTCAGGCTCCCTGTGTGCCTGGCCCAGTTCACCTTAGATATTTATGGTTCCTTAAAGCCACTATGCTAATGTCTTTCAGTAACTTGCTTTTTAACACTTATTTATCTTTTCAGAAGCTAAGTTTTTGTCCCATTATATTTCATTTGACAGCTTTCCAGCACATCTATTCTTTGTCCTAGGCTCTATTTAATCTGAGGCTATAACAGTGACCCCAAGTCTCTGTTCTTGTGGAGTTTACCATTGTTTTAATGGGAGAGAGACACGAATATATATAGCAAGATCACGTAGAGATAAGTGTTAAGAAGAAAAATGAAACTCGGTAAGGCGATGGCTAGTGATGGATTTGAGATGGGTGGCTGGAAATGTCCTCTCAGAGATCTGCGCTAGTGTAAGGGGAGTAAAAATTTAAGTAGAAAATCTTACTAGATGGGGGCAGGGGTGCCTGATGGCGGAAACTGCCTGGCATATTTAAGGAACCACAGAAAGGCCAGTAGAGCTGGAGTGAGGGAGGCAGGGCAGAAGTAATCAGAAAAAGCAGAGGCTCCCCTTTGCCAATCAGGTCTCAGATCAAAAGTCATCTTCCCAGTGTCCATCTGAATTAGCGCCACGCTCCCAGCCACTTCACCCTGTTGAATTTTCTTTCCAGCACTTAAGCATCACCTGAAATGACTTTGTTCAATTTTCTTCATTGACAAAGTCACCTGGCACACATGCACCAATGGAATGCAAGCTCCATGAGATCAGGGCCTACCTGTCTTGTTCACATGTGTTCTCAACATCCACAAACTGCCTGACATGTTCGTTGGTTGAACAGAAACATAACACCATAAGGGAGCTAGTGGACCCCAGCAGTTCCCAAACTCTTTTTGGGTCTTAAGACCCCTTTATACTTCTACAATATTACCGAGTGCCACAAACATTTTTGTTTGTGTGGGTTGTGTCAGCCAGTATTTATTCAGTTAAAACTTAGAATCGGTAAAATATCTACCTATTGAAACTGAGAATTTAAAATATTTATTTAAATATGAGGCAGCTAATGTTACCATCAATATTTCAATACATATAACTGTTATAAAACAAAAAAAAAATCAGAACAATGGGAATCACTTTACTTTTTTGCAAAAGTAAAAGACTTTAACACTTCTCATCCTCATGTGGACTTCAACCCCAATAGCCACCTGGGATCGTGAGGGAGACTTGAGGTTGGGGGGGGGTTGATGCGCATTCCCAGTCTGGATTTCCGACCACTGTTGGGCTGCTCCAGTTTTGGGATTCTCTACTTCAGCTACCTCTTAACACTATCGTATTCTAAACCACTGCTGTTTTGGTGCACACCACAGCTATGCTTAGACCTCCCCGATAGGCATGGGTAATACCACCTGCTCAGAGCGTGGTTCTGAGATGAGTGAAGGGTTTGTGAAATACCTGGCAGCCAAATGCATATGCAGTGACAACTGTATTTCATCTCAGCCAGATTAAAAGCACATGAATCCAGGGCTAAGTCATGCTTTTTGGAGCCCACGCTCTAGTAAACACAAAAGTTGCCGTTCCTGTTTATAAAATGACTTTGATAGAAAGCTTTCTATCCAATCCCTGCTTTGCCTTCTGAGTCACCTAGAAGCGATCGAGCTTCTAGTTTCTCTTCACAAACTGGTGGTTCCGCCTTTCCATCCTTCCTGAAAGTAGCTTCTGGACATGGATACTCAGGAGCGCCTGTTTCCTCACTATTCCTGCATGATTTTAATTCTAACAAATAACACAAATCTGCATTCCCATTCCCTCTCTATAAACCACTTAAGATGCATAACATCCTCCTACTGCCACATTTTTTAAATATTAAAAACAACTCCAATAAACAGGTTTCCTGTCAAATGTTCAGTCTTTAAAAAAATAAATATAAGGTATAGATAGATCCAATTCATGGGTAATGTGTTCACATAGATACAAAAGTAGAAAAAGGGGAGAGCTTTGTCCTAAATCTGCACAAGTAGAATTCTGTTGATTGACTGTAGTCCCAGGTGATAAGCAAATACTTTACCCATGAACAGTCCCTTTTATTGGTCTTTTCTGCTTTTTTTTTTTTAGTGTTTATTTTTCACAGAAAGACAGAGTAGGAGCAGGGGAGGGGCAGAGAGAGGGAGACAGAATCCAAAGCAGGCTCCAGGCTCTGGGCTGTCAGCACAGAGTCCGACACAGGGCTTGAACCCACCAACTGCCAGATCATGACCTGAGCTGAAGTCAGACATTCAACCAACTGAGTCATCCCGGCGCCCCTCTTGGTCTTGTTTCTTAAATATATTCCACAACCATTCAAGCCACTGTGCTGACAGAAAGCACTACGGTGTAATAATGAAGAATGCCAGCTCTAGAGACAGGCCCCTAGGGTTTCATCTCTGCTTTCCCACTAACCAGCTTGGTGGCATTGTTGGCATGTTACTAACCCTCCCTCTGGTGCCTCATTTTCCTCATCTGTAATATGGGGGTAACAGTACATACCTCACCACCTGATAAGCTCATCACTGAGTGCTCTAAAGTGATCACTAACATTGGAGAAAATACTGTATCACCATGTCCCAGCTTACTTAGTTCACATAACACAGCCAGAAGAGACAAGTTATAATGGTCACTGAGTTGACAGTAATACAGAATACCAGAGCCACACCAGGGAGCACAAAAAGTTGAATTTATTGTTTCTGACAAGTGCATAGGAACCTTTAGTTTGTTCCTAGCATCACGAATCTAAAATATAATTTTGTTCCTCAATTAAAAACATCTACTCTGAAAATTAATTAGGTAGTTTTTCAACACTTAATCATTTATAGAATATCTTAAAAATCATTGCCAAGCAAGATATTAGCTTTACCTTTATAAATCTCTACATAAAATGAAAAAACTCAAGGCAATCAGATTTTCTTTTGTTCTACATTTTTAAATACCATCCTTTGTTTCTTTTAAAAGATTTTCATCCATTCATTCAAAAATACTTTGAGGCTCCACTGCCCATTTAAGACAACTGAAAACCTGTAGAGGATCTGAACTAAGCAGTGTCTTCACTGAAGTGAAGCAAGAACTCTATCAGGGTCCTTGTGGGCCTCCCGGTCATGCCCTTCCGCAGGTACGGAACCTCATCCTTGTTGGTCATCACACCTGCTATGTCTAAATGCGCCCACTTAGGATGAGTCACAAATTCTTTCAGGAACGCTGCAGCCGTACATGCTCCTGCAGACCTGGAGAGAAAGACAAAAGCCACTGTTTAACCCCATGTAAATGTGCACTGACCACTTCATTAAGGCCCTCCATTCATGCTAAGTAGCTCCTATGAGCAGACAGCAAAAGTCAAGCTACTGAGATCTACTGAGAACCCAGAAACCACTTGCAGAATATTTATTCTCAGACACAGCTTTAAACAATAAAGGATAAATTCTAGATTCCTCTTCCCCATGGAATGAATTCACTAATTTTTCATCTTTTAACCATTTGTTTAAAATGACTTTTAGGGATGCCTGGGTGGCTCAGTCGGTTAAGTATTCAACCCTTGGTTTCAGCTCAGGTCATGATCTCATGGTTTTGTGGGTTTGAGCCCTACTTCAGGCTCTGTGCTGACATTGTGGAGCCTGCTTAGGATTCTCTCTCTCCCCTCCCCCCACCCAAGCTGTCTGTCTCTCCCAAAATGAATAAATAAATTAAAAAATAAAATGACTCTTAGATTTGAAAACATGCAAAATTTTGAGAACCAGTTGGCAAATACCTTGAAAAAGACCTTAAAAATTCACGCTTATGAGCGCTGTATCAAAAGGAAATTGGTTACATTTTTCTGTGAAAGGGCATAAAATTAAAGTGGTCATTTCCATAACCAATGATTATAAAAATGTACTTTGGCAGCTTATTTTACATACCTGTATTTTCCAATGTTATTAACATCAGCAAGTTGGCAATCTACAACTTGTCTTGTATAATGTTCAAAGAGAGGCATCCTCCAGACACGGTCCCCTGTTTCAATGCTGGCCTAGAGAAGAAACAGGTAAAACACTTAGAAGACTTCATGAAGTAGGTTCTGGTTAAATCCACGGCACTGATGTTTCAATGCAGGAAAGAAAGACCTGTTCTGTCTGACCTGTTACTCTAAAACAAGAAACTATACGACCAGGTCCAAAATCATTTCAGTTAATTAAAAGATTTACTTAAAAATTATAAAAGAAACCAGGAATGTTGTAAAATGTCCCACAAATTTGTAGGGCATCTGCTAAAACCATCAAATATTATGGATTTCAATGTACAATAATCTGGTATCCAGTAGTACATCCAGGCTTTGTGGGACTGATTAGGGGGAAACATCACCTCAGTGCGCCAGGGAGAGATGTCTGAAACTGCACCACTAAAGACCACAGACTAAGAAAAGGTGAGCTTATTCATTCACATAATCAAAAACACACTCATTCACATACACCATTTACTGAATCACTACAGTGCACCACCAGGTGTTGGGGAGTATAAAAAAATTTAACGTCTGAGCCATCAGA